CACACACACACACACACCTGCAGACTCGTAAATGAGAGTGAGATGATGCAGAGCGTTCAATAATAGAAGCAGTGACACTGACAGGGATTTCTGCAGCGTGATGCCCCCACCCCTCCTCCTCCTCTGAGCTGCAGCCCCCCCCGGTGGCAGGGCTGGAAACTGCCGCGCTGACGTCACACTCATGATGTCAGAGGAGAAATAAACAGAAGACAAAGATCCTTTGAACATCGCTCAGCTGAAGGACGCGTTCAGAAAAAGAAAACTCTGTAAACACAGATCTGCAGCCGTTTGAAGATCAGCGTTCCAGGACATAAGAACACGACCTTTAACCTCCACAGGATCCACACCTGTAGATCTTCCAGAGTCCAGTAAACACACTTAAAGAAGAGACTGTTGCATCACACCAGGGTTAATGATTCAAACCCAGATGTGTGCTGATGTTTAAATAATGAATCCTAAAGCAGACGGTCATGAAACTGTGCACAGGCTGGATCACTAACCTCAGTGACACAGGTCAGGGCTGATTCTAGAGGTTTGAGTGGACGATGTCCTGTGAAACATCCACACTGACCCGTCAGCGTTTCAGATGCCAGCAGCGTGTGATGCAGCTGCACACCTGGGGTTCAGAGGTGACTGTAAAACAGCTGTAACGCCGCTCCAGATGTTGGGCTCTGAGCTCAAACACTCAGGACGGAAGCTCGTAGGTTCAAACCTGGGCTCGGTCTGATACCCCGCAGCGCTGCGACGACGGGCTACAGGTCACACTCAGAGCGGCTGTTTGCCACAGCGCCAGCTTACCCTGCACCATCAGCAGCTGGATCAGAGGGACGTCACATGGTACGCCAGCTCCCAAGTTTGATGGTTTCTTCCTGTTTCTTTATTTTTGTACTTTAACTTTTTGATCTGCTCATTTCCACATGTTTATTCTTGGGCCCTGCAGACTAGCTTTGCATGATTCACACTGTGCAGCCTTCAGTTCATCCACCTGAAACAAGCTGAGCTCCTCCCTCTTTAAACCAGCACAGCTCTGATTGGCTGCCCCTCGTTATGAGCAACT